GACATGCTAACTCCGCCGCCGCTCGGTTCCCTTCTCTCGAGGTCTCGACGGAATCGGCTCATAAATGGCGTCACGAAGTGAAATCGGTGAAGCCCGTATCGAGTTCGGTTCTGGGTTTTGAGATTGGAAGCGAAGAAAGGAAATTTGGAGATGGGTCTTTGAAATTACTGTGTAAGAAGGAAGTTGTGTTGCTTAATTCCATTGTGGAACAGCCTTTACCGAGATTGAGTAGTTTCTTCGATTCGGTGAGATCTGAATTGCTTAGAACGGATTTGTTTAGTTTGGTGAAGGGTTTAGATGATTCTGGAAACTGGGAAAGAGCAGTTTTGTTGTTTGAATGGTTAGTTTTGGCTTCGAATTCAGGAGCTTTGAAGCTAGATCATCAGGTTATCGAAATCTTAGTTAGAATCTTAGGTAGAGAATCACAATACTCTGTTGCAGCTAAGCTGCTCGATAGAATTCCTCTACAAGAATATCTGCTGGATGTTCGTGCTTATACGACGATCTTACATGCTTATTCACGGACTGGGAAGTATGAAAAGGCAATCAGTTTGTTTGAGAGGATGAAAGAGATGGGACCTTCACCTACTTTGGTGACTTACAATGTGATTCTCGATGTTTTCGGGAAAATGGGTCGGTCTTGGAGCAAGATTCTGGTGGTTTTAGACGAAATGAGAAGCAAAGGATTGGAGTTTGATGAATTTACTTGTAGCACTGTGTTATCTGCTTGTGCAAGAGAAGGTTTGTTAAGACAAGCGAAGGAGTTTTTCGCTGAACTTAAGTCAAGCGGCTATGAGCCTGGAACCGTAACTTACAATGCTTTGTTGCAAGTTTATGGTAAAGCAGGAGTTTATACAGAAGCGTTAAAGATTTTGAAAGAGATGGAGGAAAACAAGTGCCCTGCAGATTCTGTGACTTATAACGAGCTTGTTGCTGCGTATGTTAGAGCTGGTTTTAGCAAGGAAGCTGCTGGTGTCATTGAGATGATGACACAAAAGGGTGTAATGCCGAATGCAATCACTTATACTACAGTTATCGATGCATATGGAAAGTCGGGAAAGGAGGAAGAGGCTTTGAAGCTGTTTTACAATATGAAGAGAGCCGGTTGTGTTCCGAATACTTGCACCTACAATGCAGTGCTTAGTATGTTGGGGAAAAAGTCGAGATCCAATGATATGATTAAGATGTTATGTGATATGAAATCTAGTGGATGTTCCCCAAATCGGGTCACTTGGAACACAATGCTTGCTCTTTGCGGGAATAAAGGTATGGATAAGTATGTGAACCGGGTGTTCCGTGAAATGAAAAACTGTGGATTTGAACCTGATAGAGACACATTCAACACATTGATTAGTGCTTATGGGCGATGTGGTTCAGAGGTTGATGCATCGAAAATGTTTGGTGAGATGACAAGGGCGGGTTTCAACGCTTGTGTTGCGACTTACAACGCGTTACTTAATGCCTTGGCTAGACAAGGGGATTGGAGATCCGGGGAGAAAGTGATTTCCGACATGAAAAGTAAAGGATTCAAACCAACCGAAACATCTTACTCCTTGATGCTTCAGTGTTATGCTAAGGGAGGGAACGTTCTAGGGATAGAGAGAATCGAGAAGGAGATAAACGAGGGCCAGATATTCCCGAGCTGGATGCTTTTGAGAACTTTGCTTCTCGCAAACTTCAAATGCCGAGCACTACCGGGAATGGAGAGAGCATTGGCATTGTTTAAAAAGCACGGATACAAACCCGACATGGTGATTTTCAACTCGATGCTCTCCATTTTCACAAGGAACAACATGTATGACCAAGCACACGAAATTCTCCAGTCTATCCGCGAGCACGAGCTAAACCCTGATCTTGTAACCTACAACAGCCTCATGGACATGTACGTTAGAAGAGGAGAGTGTTGGAAAGCCGAAGAAATCCTCAAGAATCTAGAAAAATCACAGCTAAGACCCGACCTCGTCTCATACAACACGGTGATCAAAGGTTTCTGCAGAAAAGGGTTGATGCAAGAAGCGGTTAGGATGCTGTCTGAGATGACAGAACACGGAATCAGACCGTGCATTTTCACTTACAACACATTTGTTTCGGGTTACACGGCGACGGGAATGTTTGAAGAGATTGAGGATGTGATCGAGTGTATGGCTAAAAATGAGTGCAAACCAAATGAGTTGACTTATAAAATGGTTGTTGATGGTTATTGCAGAGCAGGGAAGTATAATGAAGCCATGGATTATGTGTACAAGATTAAGACTGTCGATACTTGCTTCGATGAGCAGTCTATCCAACGGTTAGCTCAACGAGTACGTGAGAATTTAGAATCCTAAATTGATTATATGTTTGTTTTTGTAGATTTTGGTGCTTTTGTATTGAAAATTTACATTTTATTCACTTTTAAAAAAATCCAATATATGTAAACCATTGAAACCAATAAAGTTCACAACTTTACGTCAATTTTATAATCTCTATCTAGCTTTGTAATTGTGAAGGCTCTAAAACAATGTTAGAATTTAGAAATAATAGAATCCACACTGAAACCAATACCCACATCGACATAACTACATTTTGTGACCAAACAAATCCAAACCAACATGTAAAATCAGTGTGGGG